ATCACAGAGTTGTGAGTGATCTCAAGGGCCATTTATTCTGCCTGTTAAGAATGCATAGCTAAAAGACTCTTGTGAGGTGGCCCTCTAAGCTTTACTAAAAACCTCTAAAGAAGTGATTTGTGTCTGAACTTGGTCTTATCACCTCTCAATAGTCTCTTCCCCAAACTAAACACATCCTGAGCCATTTCCCCTAGGGCTTGTTTTCCAGACCTTTAGACATCTTGATCGCTTTTCTCTGAACACATCCCAGCTTGTGAATATCCTTCTTGATTTGTGATGCCCATAACTGGACACAGTATTCCAGGCAGGGGCTAATCAAAACATACTATTATTTTTGATGCATGTAGAATTGTGTTTGAGGTTTTTAGCCATTGCATAACACTGACTGATATTTACTTTGTCATGTAGTAAGACCCCTAAATCCTTTTCACTTGTACTGTTATAAAACCAGGCATCTTATCCTTGCGCAATTGTGTGCTCTACTGAAAAACAGTCCTTTTTTCCATAATCCTGTCTGATGGAATGGATGCCTTATGCTATCAAGCAGATACAACTATGACTTGACCTCTCATCAGAAGGTCAAGGAGGGCTTAACTTGCACCAAGGGCTGCTAGGTCTGACTTCCTTTACCCTTTCAGACCATATATGCTGCCAGACCACAAATCCACATTCTGCCTTCATATAAATAAATATATTTATATGGCAGGCATCCTCAGAGGTTGTGAGGTCTGTTGGAAAAGACAGTACTCTTAAAGATACATATAAAGCATATTTTCCAATGTTGGAGAGTTTAATGTCATGAGGATGTGTCATGGTACATACTGCTTAACTGTACCATCTGATTTTTCCCACCAGAAGAAGAATCTTAAATAAAAGACTAGGAAGAAAGAATATCACATTATTTATTTATTTAAATTTATTTATTTAGAACTTTTATATCCTGATCTTCTCTACCTCCGTAGAGGGACTCAGACCGGCTGAACCTGACTTTGTCTCCCAAAGCCAGCTTCAAACTCATACGTTGCTAGGAATTGTTCATATACAACATTATGGGTTTTCCTCTTGTTAAGACCCTAATTGAGGCCCCTTCTACACTGCCATATAATCCAGATTGCCAAATCAGATAATCCACATTATCTGTTTTGAACTGGATTATATGAATCTACACTGCCATATAATCTAGTTCAAAGCAGATAATCTCGATTTTATATGGTAGTGTGGAAGGGGCCTAAGTAGGCACCCCTATAATTTGGCAGAACCAAATGGGAAGAATCAAGCAACACACACCAGTATGTTCACTTGTGAACTAAAAGCCAAGACTGCTGATTTTTGCATGGCTTAAACCCATTTCACTACTTTCTTCTCTGCTGAGAAAACCAAATAAGAATCACAAGTAGCATGCAGTTCTCATACACTTTTGTATATGCCACATATCCCTCTAAACTCTGCTGGCAACTGTTGTGGCAGTGATCTAGTGAATCTGCTCTGGGCTTTACTTTGAACATTAAATGAACTATCCAAGTAACTGAGTTTATACTGAGATACTGTTCAGCACCTTGGTTAAATCCAGGGTGGACTGGGTTGTTGTGAGTTTTCTGGGTTATATGGCCATGTTCCAGAAGCATTATCTCCTGACGTTTCACCTCCATCTATGGCAGGCATCCTCAGAGGTTGTGAGGTCTGTTGGAAACTAGGAAAAATTGGGTTTATATATCTTTGGAATGTCCAGGGTGGGAGAAAGAACTCTTGTCTGTTTGAGGTAGGATTGAATGTTGCAATTGACCACCTTGATTAGCATTTAATGGTCTTACAATTTCAAGGTCAAGCTCTGAGGATGCCTGCCATAGATATAGGCAAAATGTCAGGACATAATGCTTCTGGAACATGGCCATACAGCCCAGAAAACTCACAAGAAACACACATCCAACCTAGGTTTTAACCTGTCCAAGGTGCTGAACCCTATTTCAATATAAGCTCAATTATTTGGATAGTTCATTTCATGTTCATTTAAAACTCACAACAACCCAGTGATTCTAACCATGAAAGCCTTCGACAATACCAGAGTGGATTCATTCCTTCACTGACACCAACTGAACTACTGCTCAAATCAGAGTGGTTTCCCTCCTTTCTCTTTCCTTTGGGGAAAGTAAACAGTTTCTCCAGAAGTCTTCCTGGACCCTGTGATGCAGGAGGAGACTCTAGCAATCTATAGTACAGGTACAATTGCTGGAAATGCTGTCAGATCTTAACAGAAACCATAACCACCAAACTCCAGAAGGGGTTGCAGTGGTGAGATAGGTAGCTTCCCATTAATGCCACAGAACCCGATGTACAAAATGCCATCCATTCATAAGCTAAAGGAGAACCATCTCTATTGGAAGGAGGAAGAATGCCACATTCATAAGCTAAAGGAGAACTATCTCTATTGGAAGGAGAAAGAATGCCATCATTCTACAAAAACACAGTGTTAAAATGAAAGAAAATTATCATAGGATTTGTAGGGAATAAGACAGGTGGCCAAACTTTCTTACCCTTGAGTCAGAAAGACAGCTGAAACTTAACCATGTCAGTATGGACAAGTATGCAAAGGGATCTTGTAGCATCTGGGAGAAAGGAGTTAGTAGCATATGGCTTTGTAGGCTGAAGTCAACTTCGTCAGGTGAATCAGTTCCATTTGAGGAAGTAGGCATTGGGTGCATCTACACTGCAGAATTAATGTAGCTTGACATCACTTTAAATGCCATGGCTCAATGCTCTGGAATCATGAGAGTTGTAGAGAAGGTATTTAGCCTTCTCTACCAAAGAGTGTTGTTCTCTCACCTAACTGCAACTCCCATGATTCCTTAGCATTGAATCATAGCTGTTAGTGGTGTCAAACTGCATTCTGCGATATAGATGCACCATAAGTCTAATAAAGCTTATGCTACCAACTTCATTCTCTCAGAGACTTCTAATTTGCTGCAAGATCCCCTTGTCATCAGATAAAGCAGACTTAAGCCTAAGAAAGCTTATGCTACTGACTTTTTTCTCCGTTAGGCTCAAAGGCGCTACAATATTATTTACATTCTGAAACATCAGAAACACAGCTACTCTCTTAGGCCTGTTAAAACATTTGTTTGATTGAGCATGGGTTATCAATATGAAAGGGATGGGGGTATTCAGGTAAGCCCTGTTGTCTAAGCCTTGCACACATATGAGGCCCTCTGTATATCTTTGTGCATTTGGCATGGCCTGAAGAGAGTTTCTAAATGTGCTCAATTGACCATGGTCTGTTATTACCTTCTCAATCATGAAGAAGTTGCTGAAGGCATTGAATCAAGCACACTTATAAAACTTTTGAAGATGGTGTGCTTTCTAAAGACCAGTGCCCCCCTCTTTAAGAATGTTAGACATTCCTCGGCTTCTCCAACTTTCAATGTCTGAAGGCTTAAATTACAGCTTCCACCAGTAAAGAATCTTAATACCCTCTTCTTACAGTGCTCTGTATCTACTGAACATGTGTATACTAAGTCACAGACTTCTCCTGGCACTTGTCTCTTAAGTGGAACATGTGAAAGGCTGCTTATAGACTTGTAGGCAAACAAAAAGGCTTCTCCAAAGGAATCAATGCCTGCTCAGGATTGGAGCACCTGTGTTCACAGATACTCCTTTTCACTGGTGTGATTCATCATTATAGGCAGCAGCAGGAATGGTTAGATGGTGGAGACAGGAACAAGGGGATACAGCTCTATCCTGTTCCATGCATATAGTGTAAGTATGGAGCCCGATGTGAAAAGGGATCCCGAGGACAAAGGGAAGGCAATACTGATAGTGTCAAACTTCTCCGTTCATTAAATACACTGGACAAGCAAGAGTACTTCCCCCGAATATGATGCCACAACTGTGAAGACTCTGCCTGTACGGAATGGTCCTTGATATGAGATACACCAGGTTCAATCTCCATGATATTTAGGAAACTAGAGAGGAGGTCTTTGTTTTACTGATCCCTTATCCAAGCAAATTTTTTTTGCATTTGCATTTCCCTTTTCTGAGAAACTTAAGGTGGCATATGCATCCATTCTTGTAGCTACCCAGTAAACCTTTTAGCTAAATTTAGATTTGAACCGGTATCTCTGAGGTTGATGTCCAACATGGGAACCACTACACTACATTGGTTCATTTGCTATGCTGTTGTTTGAAACCTTTCTGCCTTTATATTATTTATATATATTAGGATGATTTTATAGTTAGCTTCTCTCAGAGTTATTTGGGTTTAATGGCGATGTATGCATTTTAAAAATAAATATTTTAATCAATAAAAACAGCACCCTTCATTCCTCCTTCCAAGTTATCAGTGGCATGGAAATCAGCTCAGTCTAAACTATGTTGCTTCCTGGATAAACTGGAACAAACCTGGTTCAATGGCAGCAAATAGAGTATGACTAAGAAACATATCTTGTGAAACTTTGTTGAAATGACTACCACATGCTCAATATATCAGGAGTTAAAGGTTAGGCCAAAAATCTGGACAGTTTCTCCTTGGCTGCAAGTACTTAAGAAGCTGCTTAGATAACATGCAAAATTTAATGTCCCTTATAAATATGTGTATCACCAAAGTTCTGATGATCAAGGAGTTCTCATACATTAACCAGTAGATGGATGGATTATATCAAACTATCTGTATGCTTTCATTATTAAGAAAATGCTTCCAGATTTCAATGGATCACAACGTGATTAATTACATATGAGTCTATACAGATGGGCCAAATTACTTGAGAGTTTTAGGCAAGACTGTTTGAAGCCACCATCAGATAGGATGGTCATGACTTGATACCCAAGCACCATGGCATCTGTGTATGTCCAGAGCATTAAAGGAAATTAATAATTTCAAGGGACTTTTCTGAGAGTCCTCAATCCCACCTCTTCTGAGACAACTCAAACAAAGTCATCACTTGATATGGTATCCTAGAATGTGCATGCATTATTATGCGGGGAAACCATTAAGTATCAAAAGAACATACCTGTTCTGGTTTCAGCCCAGGAGGTACCCAAGCATACTCTTCCAAGGCACAACCCGAGTCATCGTCAGAAGTAGAATTCCGCTGGAAGTCAAACATCAGTTTGGTCACAGTCTTCTCCATTTCCAGAGGCATCACGGTTTCAAAATGCTCTGACTGTGGGCACTTACAATGTCGGCAAATTTTCCTGGAGAGATTAAAAGAAAAAGCAAAGAAGATGGAAGGTTACATTCTGATGTTGCTGTTATGAGTGGGATTTTGCTTATTAACAGTAGCCACATGATATTAGCATGCACCCATTGCACCCAACACAAGGCAGTGGCAATGAGGGAGAACATTAAGTTTCTACAGATACTGTAGATTCTTCTCTCCCTCTGAGACCAGGGCAGTGGGGTTGGAGGAGCCTTTCATCAGTTTCTGGGTCTAGGCTTGGTGGAACTGTGTCTGAATCTTCTTATCTCCTTCCCAGACCAAACAATAACAATTGGAATGGAGGAAAGGCTAGGGGACAGTCTAATTAACCATCTGTAAGAAGCTGAGCTTCTTTGTGGCTGAAGAGTGGGGTATACTCTAAATCAGGTGTTTTGGACTTCAGCTCCTAGAATTCCTGACCATTGGACAAGCTGGCTAGTGCTTTGGGGGGTTGGTTCCAAACACCTGGAGGGCCACAGGTTGTGCAGACCTGATCTAGATGCCTGCTGGACCAGGACCTGATTTTACTACTTTTTTCCAACAAAGTATGTCCCCTCTAGGAATTTTCGAGGTCCTCCAGATGATTCTATTATATGCTTCCACTATGCTTCCACTAGAAGTTATTATAGAGTTCTGTTGATATGATCTAGCAAATCCTAGATCTTCCTATTATTTTCTAATTCCTCCAGAGCAACTTTATGGTAACTTCTGGAAGAAGTCATTCAGTTCAATAAGGTTTGCTCTTACACAGCCAAGCCAAAAACAAAACAAAATAAAAAAACCTCATTATCTTGGTTTTTTAGGCCAGTTATTAGGGTTTTTTGGGGTGCTGGTTTCTTAGATATGGTTATTTTTATTTTTATGGGCAAGCATTTGAAGACTGGCATGTGGCATATATCCTGTTTCTCTAGGTGGAAACTGGTACCAATTTTTGAATCAGCAGGTCAAATATACCCAGAAACTGACAGTGTATCTTCTCTCCCTTTGAGGTCAGGGCAAGTGTGTTGGCCAGAGTTATCCATCATCATCATAATCATCATCATCATCATCAGAGGCTGGACGGCCATCTGTCAGGGGTGATCTGAATGCAATATTCCTGCTTCTTGGCAGGGGGTTGGACTGGATGGCCCATGAGGTCTCTTCCAACTCTTTGATTCTATGATTCTATGATTCTATGATCATCATCACCCCTTGCTTTATCTCCCCAAAGGGAACACAAAGTGGCTAATGATTTCCATGATTTTCTGTTTCTGTGATAAGTTCAGAAATGCACCCCCCGCTACAAATACAAAGATAATATTATATATGAGCAGTACACTTGCTTGCTACTATTCAAAGCAAATGGCTATTGCTTGTGTAATATGATAATGTGGGGAAATGAGATTTGTTGTTGGGTAATGAGGAGTGGTGGTCTTGGAAAAACAGCTGTCTGCACTAAGGCTGAATGGGATCAGCACAGTATAATGTCTAAATGTAAATAGCAACCAGTGCTTCACAAACTGGCAGAGGACACCAAAGCAGTTTTGTAAATAGACACTGTTTGTTCGTTCATTCTCTCTCTCTCTCTCTTTGTGTGTGTGTGTGTGACAGAGAGAGAGAAAGAGAGAGAATTAACTAGACCACCCATGTTGAGCTAACAAGTGGCAGGAGATGCCAAAGGTTGAATGCATTTGATGGATGATCACAGATACACCTCTTCTCTTGCTCCTCCTTTGACAGCCCCCATAAATACACATACAGTGCCAGATCATCAGCAGGTTCAAATTACTAAGCTGAAGAGAGGACACATGCAGTATGCTAAATGTCAATGTAAACAGAAAGCTTAGCATGGCAAATTCCATTACAATGACCACACATCCCAAATATGGCTGGACTAAATTAGAGGAAGCAATCAAAGTCACACATCAGCAGTTAATACAAGATTACCCATAGATCTGTCTTACAAAGTGCCTCTCTCCAAGGCAGCACATATTCCTTGTATATGAATGATGAAGAATTTGAGATCTCCAGCTAAAGCATTTCAAGGGGAAGAAAAGATATTTTTTGGGATAACAAGGCTCTTCTTTCAGCACTTGTCCCCATGGCTCAGTAGACTACGTCTATCATATATTCTATTGTTTCTCCCCCTCCACTTTTGCTTGTCTTTTAGAAACCTGCTTACTGACAGATATGACTGCTCAGCACAGCACCTATGGAAATTGATGCGGCAAAGGAGATAACATAATCTGTACACAAAAGGAACAGAGATTGTTTCAAAAGAGTGATGCAAACAGGAACAGCCTCAGGGAAAAGAGAGACAAAAACGGTATCTCTTAAAACTCTTTGAACTGGCAACTTCAGGCACAGGAGAAAAATGTATTAGGATTAAAACCTGTTTCCACAAGAGTTGCTGTGGCTGTTGATGTGTGCCTACATGTCGTTTCCGACTTATGGAGATCCTAAGGTGATCCTCTCACAGAGTTTTCTGGGGCTGAGAGTATTTGACTTGTCAAGGGACAACCAGTGGGTTTTCATGACTAGGTGGGGATCCAAACCTTGGGTTCCAGAACCAAGGTCCAACAGTCAAACCACTATACAGCGCTGGAGTAGCTACAACAAAATTGTGATAGAAAGAACTGCAGCAAATAATATTGTGACAAAATAACCCGCATCCAAAAAATGATTACGGCACATACTTTTATGCCTCAGACACTATACCAAAATATGGAATTAAATCTGTCTCTCACTATTTGTAGAACCAAATCTTATGTGCATTTTTGGTTAATGGGTTCATGTGTTAAATTTTCAATTCAGGAAAAGAAATTGTTCTGCAGGAAAAGAGGACACGTGCTCTGATTATTATAGGTGACATCACAGCATACAGAAATGTAAAAGAAACATCTCTTAACATGTGGAGAGGAAGAGAAAAAGCTTTCTTTCTTTTCTTTTTTACCATGGTGCAAGCCATCTGGAGTTTCTGTGAGTAGTTGTGACAAAATAATGATTTGAAATGACTTCCAGATTAAACTCAGCATCATTTTATTAAAATTTTGTTAACCTATAGTACTGTAATCTGATATCAGTTCTGAAGTCAGGATCACAGTATTAATAAAACAGCTATATACTCTGAGGTGGAAGAAACCGGTTATCCAAAAGTATGGCTGATGAAGATCTGTGAAATAGCAGAAATTGACAAATTGACTATATTAAAGGAGAAATCTTTGACTAGCTTTAAGAAAGACTGGAGCTTGTTCGTCACAACAACAATGGGTGTATTTAATAACTCTGGGATCCATAAATTACACACTATTGTGTAAAAGGAGTATCATAGAATCATAGAGTCATAAAGTTGGAAGAGACCTCATCCTCAACAGATGACCATCCAGCCTCTGCTTAAATGCCCCTAGAGAAGGAGCCTCCACCCCACAGAATTCCACAGCTGTCACAGTTAGGAAGTTCTTCCTAATGTTCAGGTTGAATCTCCTTTCCTATAGTTTGAAACCATTGTTCCGTGTCCTAGTATCCAGGGCAGCAGAAAACAAGCTTGCTCTTTCCTCCCTATGAGTTCCTCTCACATACTTATACATGACCATCATGTTTCCACTCAGATTTCTCTTCTTCAGGCTAAACATGCCCAGCTCTTTAAGCTGCTCCTCACAGGGCTTGTTCTATAGAGCCTCAATCATTTTAGCCGCCCTCCTCTGGACACATTCCAGCTTGTCAACATCTCCCTTCAATTGCGGTGCCCAGAATTGAACACAGTATTCCAAGTGTGGTCTGACCAAGGCAGAATAGAGGGGTAGCATGACTTCCCTGGATCTAGACACGATACTATTTATGCAGGCTAAAACCCCATTGGCTTTTTAAGCTGCCACATTACATTGTTGGCTCATGATCAATAAGAGATGGCATCCACTTGATAGAGTGGAGAAATTGTAGTTTATATTTAAATTACTTAGGTTGTTGTCATTTAGGTGTAGTGTATAATATGTAGTTGTGTAATTTGTGTAGCTTTATCTATCTAGAATGCCTGTGTGTTTTATTTTCTGTTTATCTCAAATAAAATTATTTTAAAACAATTATTGAATCCACAGCATCGATTTTTTTCGAATTTGCGTAATCTGAGCAAATACAGATTTCCTTCCCAGGCAGTTCCTACATATTTAGGGTTGGGGTGACAACTTCCAGGCCCCTGTATTCAAAGCAGATGGAAGTGTAGCATCTGAGCATTGCTCTTTAGAATGGCCCTGTGCTTGTTCCTTCTCCTGTGAACCCAGCGATGCAAACTTTCTTAATGCATTTTATCCATCACTTCACATGGCCTATGAATAAACTAACCTCGACTGCCTCTGAACCCAAACTTCCCTCCAGCCCAAAGAGCACAAATATGCACTGAGCCAAAAGGCTTTGGAAAGTCAAACCAGGGAGAGTTGCCAAGTTTTCCCATTTCCTGCTTTTCATCAGATTTAAAATACACACAGATGCAAATACAAGATGAATGTCTGGTTTGCATCTAGCTGGTCAAAGAGTCTCAGCACAGCCTATGGCTGTTATACTAATATTAAAAATGTGGATCACCATTTCATATGAATGCATTAATTAATCAGCTACTGCATGAAGGTCCTCTACTTTTCACCCTAGTAATGGATTCGGCTGTCATTTCCACCTCTGTTCATAATGTAGTGTTGAGCAACTCAAAATGCTGGGTAATTTATTAACTTTCATGGATATATTATTCACCACTTTGGTCAGCCCCCAAGGCTCCACCAGCTTTAGAGTGGCCACACTGGACCCAGTGCCAACCATACGAAAACTGCTTAGAAGACTAGAAGTTTCCCTTTTGAAAAATGGTCGTTCTCACGGAGCTCAGTACTATTTCACTGTCATTCCCAGGATTATTAATCATATGGATCCCTGCAGAATATGTCTGTGAACAGTGAAAATATTTAAAGCTTTGGGAAGTCATAAAATAACGTGTGGTACCAGGAGGCAAAGTGGAAAAGAAAACAACAGCAT